CACCGCCAACGGGATGCTGGGGGCTTCCTCCAGACCCAGCCTTTCCCATCTCAAAACCTCAAAATAGGCGGCTGTTCCCGTTTCCTTGTTTTGTTCCTGTCTCCCAAGGAAGGTGTTGCGGCTTCAGCATCTGAAGAGGTTTGGGGCGAGGGGTGTGCGTGTGTGAAGCTTGCAGCCCTTCTCCGGAGTGGAGGGATGCCAGAATTCAAGGAAACCAAGCCCTGCCTGATGAGCTGGGGCAAATCGCAGGTCTGGGGCAGCGACCGCGCCAGGCAGGGATCCACAAACCTCTACCCCCAACACGGCTTGAAGAAGTTCCAGGCCAAGACGCCAAAGCAGAACATCCACCGCCCGGCGTCCTGCCTGGTCTGGAGGGTGAAGCATTTTTCTCCCAGGTGGCAGAAAGCCAGACTGAACTGGGTGGAGGAAGAGGAGAAGCCATCAGATAAGAAATCAGGCATTTAGATGGAAAGGGTCGTTTGGGTTGATCAATTGGCTCATCGGCAAACCCATCTTAATCTGGCAGGGTGGGAGTTAAAAGCACGCCTGCTGTAGCATGGCGAATTACTCAAATAGAAAGTGGAAAAGATAATATTAAAGTTGGCCTTTTCTTTGTATTGTGAATGGCTGTTTGTGTTTATTTAATGCTGAGTTACAGTATTGCATGCTTCCTCCGATATATATATAAAGTAACTATTGATACACACACACACACATGTTCTCTAACTTCTTTCTTTGTTTATTATTTTGACTTCTATACTGCCCCACCCCTGCAAGGACTGTCTGGGTGGTTCACAACCCATCAAAACAAAATGATAGTTATACAAACAAACTGGGAAATGCGACAAACAGAATAGGATCAATAAAAACCCTGTCTCTAGCTGAATCCGTAAAACCTGCATTTGAATAAAATAAATAAATTAAAAACAACCTTGAGCATCCCCAGTGATCCTTTAGAGGAAGGACAGGGATAGGGGAAGCCGCTGAACCTCTAAAAGGTGGGTGGGTGTGGAGATGTCGGCTCTTTCTATTGCATCATTGCCTTGACAAGCTTCATTTGAGGGACTCTTAGTGAGTTTGCCACTGGCACCTCATCCCAGGACACAGAAGGGTTCACCAGCCTAGGCTAATAATGCAACTTCAATTGTGGGAAGACATACACGGGAACAGATGCTTTGAACTTGTTCACTCTCTTTCCCCTTTCTAAATTGCTTCATTGCACAAGTCCTCAAAGGCAAGGTGATAAGCTGCAGTGTATTTAAAAGAACATGGGAAAAGGTCATGTGCCCCCCACAACCCAGATTACACCAATGTAAGAGTGGCTGATCTCTTTGACTGGATTACACAAAAAAGTAAAACAGCAAACTTTCATGGAGAAATCTCACTTCATCAGGCTAAGCACCACCACTTCAAGGAGAGTGTCCGGATTCCTTCTCTACAAAGCTTGGATGCAGCCCCTGGCATTCTGCGTGGTAAGCAGCAAAAGCCCAGTAAGACAGACGGGAGAGGAGGGACGTTGCACAACCAGCAGTGAAAACTGATCCCAAGCATTCTGTAACAAAACAAACCGACAATGGCAGGGTGGGAGGGGGAGAGGAGAGCCATGGCGGCCGCCACCAAGGGCTGAGACCTCCCAGGGGAGATGCCAGTGACCCCAGGCCTTGCTAACTCCCTGCAAAAGGAGGAAGACATTCCAGCAGGAGGGCGAGCAGATCGCCAGAAACCCACAAGCTTCATCCCAGTGCCAAACCACATGTGGGACCTTGAGCCTGCCCTGGAGAGAAAATGGTTCACTTGCAAAGCAGACACGGCCTTCTCAAAGCTATCCTGCAAGTGCCAGTACAAATATTTCATAGTCGGGAAAAGTTACCGGGGGGGGGGTGTCACACACTCTGCCAAGAGAGAGAGATGGCTTTTGTAAGCCTGTGGTACATCGCAATTGTCCATAAAATGATGTGCAGGCCAAGAATGCTACGAATCCTCACCATGGAGCAAATCACATGGGCCAAAGGCCAGCCTCATCAGACATCCTGCTTGAATCTGATAAAAACCAACAAGTTTTGGGATCAGGACAGGCAACAGAGAGTATCTCTTAATGAAGCTGTGCAAACTCTTACGAAAATTGCAGCTGTAGATGAGAGGCAGCCCCCTTTTCTTTCTTTTTAGGAAGAAAGCAGAGCATGCCTCTTCTGTTAGGGTAGATAAACAAGAGTGAATACGGATTAGCGCTAAACCGCAGGTGCTTCCTCCGAGGTACAGATTCAGAATCAGAAATGATCTGTTTCTAATTGAAACGGAATCCACAGCACTCTCTGCTCGGGCAAGAAATGCTGGTTGAGGTGCCCTAGTGTATCCTGCTGATGAGCCTCCTGTCTGGGTGCTGCTGCCTGTGGATGATGGGCAGCCCTGATCTGCCCCTTTCTTATGGTTCTGGAGGGGACACCCCTTCAAAATAAGGAGTGGTGGTAACCCTTTGAGGTTGCTACTGCTGAAAGAGGGCCGCTGAAGAGAGTGGTCTCCTTGTGGGCGAGGGGGAGCAGCTGGCAGCCCTCCACCTGCTTCCCTCTATCTGGTTCCACTGGCCAGGCACAGGTGATGGCACTTGTAGTTAATGCCCCTTTCTTATGGTTCTGGAGGGGACACCCCTTCAAAATAAGGAGTGGTGGTAACCCTTTGAGGTTGCTACTGCTGAAAGAGGGCCGCTGAAGAGAGTGGTCTCCTTGTGGGCGAGGGGGAGCAGCTGGCAGCCCTCCACCTGCTTCCCTCTATCCGGTTCCACTGGCCAGGCACAGGTGATGGCATTTGTAGTTAAACAACCTAAAGGATACTTTTCGCCCTGATTCTGAGCATCCTTGGACCACCGTATTGGCCACTGTGGGAGACCCGACACTAGAACAGACAGGCCCATTCTAGGAGCCTCCAATCCCCCCCCCCCAAGTGCTCCTCTGTTCATGCTGTTTGGGAGTGATGGGCACTGTAGTCCAAAAAAAAGGCACCAACCTGAAAAAAAGCCGTTCCCAGATTAGCTGCCTGTCTAAACTTCCTTATTTTGTGCCTGGCTCCTGGAAATCGCCTGCCTCTCCCAGTGAATCCTGTCAACGGAACCTCTGGTGAGAACGGGCGCCGCTGGTTGCCCCGAATCCCTTCGGGCTGCAAGAGGCGCGGCGTCGCTGCGAAGGGCCTCCCCCGGACACGGAGCAGCAGCAGCAGCAGCCGCGGCGGCCTCAGAGCGACCCCCAGGGACTCCGGGCAGAATTGCAGAGGCGGCTTTTGCTTTGGAAGGGCAAAGTTTAGAAAAGTTACATTTTTGGACCGCAAGTCCCAGGATGCCCCCCCCCCAACGTGCCTGGCCAAAGCGTCTCATAGGCTCGGCTGTCGTCCAAAACTACCGCTCTGGGGAGGGTCCCTCAGCGGCTCGAGTCTTTGCCCGTCTACTCGGGAGTAGAGCCCTTGGATTGCAACGGGGTTTTTCGCCCCCTACGCAAATGTCCGGAGCACTTCTCCCTTGCCCCCCTTTCCTTCCCCCCCCAGCATAATGGCCCCCCTCCCTGGTGGT